GCCGCCATATGTTTTGTCTTTTGTGCAAGTGGTAACGAGTGGAGCAAGGCCCTTAGGGCCACTGCTCGTAGGAAAACGAAAGAAAAGAAAGAGAGAGCTACGGTAGTAAGTAGTTGTAACTTTTAACCCATAACTGCTGGAAAACAGACCTGACTTCGGATCCAGACTATGTCTTGCTGGCCTGCTTCGCTCTTACGCGAAATTTGCTGAACGTTTCTTGAGACGTTGGGACCCTTGCAGATGCACTGCTGGGGTCTCTTGGGAAAAAGACTAAGCAACGAGGAATACATGGCCCCATTTGTTTTTTTTCGGTGCCCTTAGATTTTTCAGAAAGGAGGGGCAGCATTGGCTACCTCAGCCAGCCCTCTCCAAATTTGCACACGATGCGCCACAGGTATGGTTGGAAGGTTTTCAGTCGTTTTGATAATGATAAAGACGGCTGCGATGAAATTTGGTAGACGTAAGGGGCACGCATGAGGGAGGGGGTCACTGGTCAGCAGGTCAAGAGGGTCAGATGAGGACTGCAACTAGGGCCTGTCAGTACTTTCATGTTCGTAAGGGTTGGCGGTCAGTCCTTTTTTCATGGAACGGCCAGGAAGGCTATTAAAGCTATATATATCAAGAGAACTCTTGATATTGATGCATTCATTATTGAGTAATATTGACCTTTAGGTGGAATTGGAACCAGTTGGTAAGTGGTCCTGGATGCAAAGAAACTATTGATTAACAGATCATGAGTTCAAATCACGACTACAATCATTTGGCTGGTTAGGTGGAACTGGAACCAGATGGCAGCTCCCAGAATACAGAGAAAGTCCTTCCGCTTGGCAAAGCCGTCTGGTTAAATGGTAGATGCAAAGAAACTGTTGATAAACAGATCATGAGTTCAAATCGCTGAGTCATTTGGCTGGTATACCTGACACCAGTCGCTTCGCTAGTATAACAATTCTGGGGGCTGCCCCCTATTTTCTCTTCCCCCATCTTTATTGTTTTGTTTCTTTTTGCTTTTCTATTCAGGTCTGTTTGTGCGATTACACAAGAGTTTGAATCCTCTATGCCAGCTGGATATGCCGGACCTGCCAGAGTCATGCCATGACAGGATTCAAAATATCAACCCAATAATAATATTTTGAAGAGAACAGCGTTTTTTTGTGGATATGTTTGGAAGAGATTTGAGCATGACAATTGGCGATGAGTGGATGCGATTGTAGCACTCAGAAGGTGGGTATACCGAGACAGTGGGTGGGTGCTTGGGTTGGATTGGTGCGAGCTATGAGAGGAGAGGGGACGAAAAACTCCAAAGGGAGGTTGACGAAAGGAGAAGCAAAGCTCCCCAGGAACGAGGACTACATGTCGAAGAGAAAGATGGCAGGTTGCATCTTTGATGTGGCTCATTTGTGCGTTTGTATGGTGCACACTGGGATTGAGTTTGCTGGTCAGGGCTGTCTAGCAAGTTCACAAGTTGAATACTTGCATGGGGTGGAGTGGTGAGTTTTGCATGGTGCATATGGGATTTTCCTACTCAGGACTAGGTATTTCCATGATGGCAAAGGCAAGATTACCTCTCTTTTTGTCGTTTTCCCCCCAAAGGGCTGAGTGTCTACGGTATTGATTACCTGTTAATTTTCTTCCCTGAATTCTCTGATTGCATCATGCAGCCTTACCTTCACTCTTTTTATATTTGTTGCACTCTGAAGGAATCCTTGCTGGAATCACTGAATAGTCTTTCAGTGGAGTGGGAGCGGTTCTACATTTTTTTTTTTTTTTTTTTTTCCTGTTTTCTTCTTCTCTTTTATTCAATATTGTTTCAATGGCTTGGTTAGGGATTCTTACAGTTTCGGTCTTAGAAGGACATCTCATGAGAATGCTCAAGTTTCAGGCTTGAGCGTGTTGCCATGTTTGCTGTGTGTGTGTGTGTGTGTGTGTGTGTGTGTGTGTGTGTGCGCGTGCATGTGTGCATGTGTATGCTGTGTCTGCAATCCACAGTATTCTTTGGCACCTTTTTTTTTCCTTTGGCATTATGGGTGAGTTGCATCAGCTGTTTATATGTGACCATTGTGTGT